AAATCAAATCATGGTTCACCTCTAATTTCCTCAAACTCAACGGCAATAAAACTGAACTTCTTCTAGTTGGCACTAACTCCACCCTCTCAACATCTGACAGCTTTTCTTTAACTATTGACAGTGCCACAGTCTCCCCCTCACCTCATGTCAAGAGTCTGGGTGTCATTCTCGACAGCTCCCTTTCTTTTCAGGCTCACATTAATAACTTAATTCGGTCAGCATACTTCCATCTACGTTCCATAAACCGTCTTCGTCCCTCACTGACCCCTCACACTGCCGCCATTCTCGTCCACAGCCTCGTCACCTCCCGTCTCGACTATTGCAATTCACTTCTTTATGGTCTCCCCAACAAACTCCTTCATAAACTGCAACTGGTCCAGAATTCAGCAGCCCGTATTATCACCAGAACCCCTTCCTTTCACCACATCACGCCGGTTCTCCAGCAGCTCCACTGGCTCCCAGTTAAATTCAGGCCCATCTTCAAAATTCTCCTCCATACCTTCAAAGCAATCCACAACCTCTCTCCTCCATATATCTCAGACCTTATAAGTATTCACACCCCGTCCCGTTCACTCAGATCTTCTTCTTCCATCCATCTTGCGGTTCCTTCTGCCCGTCTCGCTACCATGGGGAGCAGAGCTTTCAGCCGCTCTGCTCCTCGACTCTGGAACTCACTTCCCCCAGACATCAGGAACATCGACAGTTTTACCCTTTTCCAATCAAAACTCAAAACACATATGTTTAAATCTGCCTACAACCTCTGATTTTATTGAAATGTTTCTCTCTGTTTTTTCTTCTTTGGGTTTTATTATTGTTTTATTGTATTTTATTACGTGTTTTGTGTAAAGTGACCTTGGGTGTCCTGAAAGGCGCTTTGAAATAAAATGTATTATTATTATTATTAATCAACAGGGTAGGGTCGACAAACGAGCTCGTGGGCTCCCAAGAGCGCTCCTCCGGGCCGTACCCCTCTCAGTCCACGAGGGACTGCCAACCACACCCCCGGCAGCAAGCGTCCAGAACCCTGTGGATCGTGTAGACACGATCCCCCTCCACATAGCGGGGCGGAGGCACCCGGACCGGAGGAGGGTGGAGAGGAGAGGAGACCACCGGCTTCAGCTGGGAGACATGAAAGACCGGGTGGATCCGTTGAGTAGCCGGGAGGCGCAGACGGTACGTGACAGGGTTGATGACCCTGAGGACAGGGAACGGACCCAGGAAGCGAGGAGTGAGCTTCCGGGAGTCAGCCGGCATCCTCAGATTAGCGGAGGAGAGCCACACCTGGTCGCCAGACCAGAAGATGGGGCCAGGCCGGTGGCGGCGGCGATGTTGACGGGAGTACTCCGTGTTGGTCCGAGTGATGGCCGCACGGGCCCGGATCCAGGCGAGCCGACAGCGGCGGACCAGCGTCTGGGCAGCAGGGACCTCCACCTCAGGCACCTGATGGTCGAACAGAGGGGGCTGGTACCCATAACAAGTCTCGAATAGAGACAGACCCGTGGCAGAGGAGGTCTGGAGGTTGTGGGACAGTTCCGCCCACAGGAGGAAGCGGGGCCAGGTGGTTGGCTGGGACAAAGTGAAGCAGCGCAAGTAGCATCCAAGCTGCTGGTTAGCCCTCTCTGTCTGACCATTCGTTTGTGGGTGGTACCCAGAGGACAGGCTGGTGGAAGCGCTGACCAGGCGACAGCACGCTTTCCAGAAGCGTGAAACGAACTGGGGTCCCCGGTCGGAAACCACGTCCTGGGGGAAACCATGGAGCCGCACCACCTTTTCCAGGAGCAGTTCGGCCGTTCTCTTGGCAGTGGGGAGGCCGGCCAGGGCTACCAAGTGCACGGCCTTGGAGAACCGGTCCGTGATGGTTAGTATGGTGTCCAGGTGGTCGACAGCCGGCAGTCCCGTGACAAAATCCAGCCCGATGTGTGACCATGGCCGCTTGGGCACAGGGAGAGGTTGTAAATCTCCAGTGCCGGGTCAGTTAGATGATTTGGATCGAGCACACACATCACATGCAGCAGTGAACTTGCGGACATCCCTCCTCATAGACGACCACCAGAGAGCCCGACGGAGGAACTGGAAGGTACGGGCTTGGCCTTGATGTTCCGCGAGCCGTGAACAATGCCCCTACGTGAGTGCCTCTCGTCGGCAGGAGGTCGGAACGTAGAGGCGGTTCGGTGGAGTCTCTGGGGGTGCCGGATCGCCAGGAAGCGCGGCTCTTATGGATTGTTCCAACGGCCATTGGAGGGAAGCCAGGAAGCGTTGAGGCGGCAGAATGGTCAGAGACTCCGGGGGGCTTGAGTCTGGTACGATACGCCGAGAGAGAGCGTCCGCTTTGAGATTCTTGGAGCCGGGCCGGTAGGCGATATGAAAATTGTACGGCTCGAAAAAGAGGGCCCACCGAGCCTGACAAGGATTGAGTTGCCGAGCGGTCTGAAGGTGGATGAGATTCTGGTGGTCGGTCCAGATCAGAAAAGGGTCGGTGGTCCCCAAGAGCCACTGCCGCCATTCCTCCAGGGCCCATTTTATTGCCAGCAGTTCTCTGTCGCCGACCCCATAGTTCTGCTGTGTGGGGGAAAACTTCCAGGAGAAGTAGGCGCATGGGTAGAGCTTAGAGTCCGGACCCCGTTGCGAGAGGACGGCCCCCGCTCCCACATCAGAGGCATCCACCTCCACGACGAAGGGCCGGGTCTGGTCCAGGTGGAGGAGGATGGGCTCCTTAATAAAGCGCCCGACCAGATCATGGAATGCACAGACAGCCTCTGGAGTAAGGCGGAAATGGCGAGGCTGGTTGGTAGCTTTGGTGAGGGAGGTCAGAGGTGCTGCGAGGGAACTGAAGTTGTGTATGAACCTCCGGTAAAGGTTCGAGAAGCCCAGGAAGCTTTGCAACTGCTTCAGGGTCGTGGGTAGAGGCCACTGAGCTACTGCCTGAACCTTCTGAGGGTCCATCTTCAGGCCCCGGGAGGAGATGGTAAAACCCAGGAAGGAGGTGGACTCCTGGTGAAACGCACACTTCTCCAGTTTGCAATACAGTTCATGGTCCAGGAGGCGGGACAGAACAGCCCGAACATGCCGGATGTGCTCCTCAGCCGTGCGGGAGTAGACGAGGATATCATCCAGATGTACAAAGACCCAGCGGCCCAACATGTCTCTTAGTACGTCTGTAATGAATCGCTGGAAGACAGGACAGGCAGTTGCAGAGGCCAAAAGGCATCACCAAGTATTCATAGTGGCCGGTGGGCGTGATAAAGGCGGTCTTCCACTCCTCACCCTCCTTGCTCCAGATCAGGTTGTAAGCACTGCACAGGTCCAGCTTGGTGAATAGAGTGGCCTGGGTGATGGTGTCCAGGGCGGTGCCCATGAGCGGAAGAGGGTGAGGGTCCCGGATTGTTATTTTGTTTAACCCTTTATGGTAAATACAGGGCCGGAGATCTCCCTCCTTCTTCTTTACAAAGAAAAACCCTGCGGCAACAGGAGATGTTGAGGGACGGATGAACCCCTTCTGGAGGGCGTCGGCAATATAAGTGTCCATTGACAGGGTCTCCGCCGGAGAGAGGGAGTACAGACGACCCCGAGGAGGGGTGGTGCCGGGCTGGAGCCTGATCTCCAGGTCATAGGGTCGATGAGGAGGTAGCCTGGTAGTGGGTTCCTTCGCGAAGACCTGAGCGAGGTCGTGGTATTGAGGAGGAACGAGCGTCAGGTCCACGTCCTTGGGAGGGGTTGCTCCGGTCTGAGGTGTAGGGGAGCCCCGGTGGTTCTGGCAACCCGCGCCCCAGGCCAGGACCTTACTGGCGGACCAGGAGATGTGAGGCTCATGGCGGCAGAACCAGGAATGGCCCAGGATGAAAGGTGTAGCCAGAGCCTGGATGACCAGGAAGTGGAGGGTCATGTGGAGGCCCTGGGTTCGGTGGGTGAGAGGGTACGGCATGATGGGCCGGCCATCCACAGAGGTCACAGGAATGGGTCGGTCGAGAGTAGTAAGGGGTATCTTGAGCTGAGTGACCAGTCCTTGGTCGATAAAACATTCCGTGTCTAAAAGAGCCTCCAGTCTGGTCGGGCCTTGGTCCAGGTGGAGGGAGACCGGGAGAGTGGTGCGGTGTGGGACCGGAAAAGTGGAGACTCTGGGCGGAACAGCCCCTACTCCGACCCGGAGGGACCGTTTCCCGGTCTTCTTGGACACGTGCCACGGTGGTGACCCAAATCCCAACAGTAAGCGCATCGTCCCTCCTGGTAGCGCCGTGCCCGTTCCTCAGGGGGGAGATGGCCGAGCTGCATCGGTTCCTTCATCGGTTGGTGGGCCGGACAACGGGGTGACGTTCTGGTGTGGATGGGAGCTGGCATGGTGCTCGGCCTGTTCAGGATGCAGCGGTCCAACTGGAGGGCCAGATCCACTGCCAGGTCCAGGGAGGTTGGGGCCTCATGTCCAATCATGCCCTCCCGGATTCTAGGGGACAACCCCTCCAGATAAACGGCCTTTAGGGCGGCGTCATCCCACGTCAACCGAGCGGCTATCGTCCGGAAGCGGGAGGTGTACTGACCCACCGTCTGGGAGCCCTGACGAAGCTGAAGCAGCCGAGTCTCGTCCGAGACCTCGCTTCTGGGATGAATAAATGTATTTTTCATCTCCTTCACAAAAGTTTCATAGTCATTGCAGGCAGGAGATTTCTGGTTGTAAAGAGCCGCCGCCCATTCGCCGGCTCGACCCGTCAGCAGTGAGGTCAGCAGGGCGACACGGGAATGGGAAGTGGAGTAGCGCGCCGGCTGGCACTCAAAAGTCATTGCCAGGACAGCCAGCAAGCCCTCCGGGGACCCAGCATATATATATATATATATATATATATATATATATATATATATATATATATATATATATATATATATATATTCCAGGCTAAAAGGAAAAGAAAAAAAAACAGAGTCTCTAAGGACATTATTATCAGTCTTTATAAACTGTTCTGTAAAAGTAATGCACCTTAATGCCAGTAGAGGGCAGTATGATACTTGGCAGCTGACCGGGACACGTTAACGCGCCGCGGACGTTAGCTTTTCCTCATTCTGCGACGAGGAGCTGGCGCAGCAACAACTTACTGATGTCCTGTCTGCTCATTTGACTGTTTTAACAGGTTAGTATCATCATTTAAGAGCGATAAACAGGTGAAAACGGGAGAAAACCGTGTGAAGATGTATTAATCGTTTTTTGGGGAAGTTTTGTTCTTAATGTGTGGTTAATGAGCTGTAGGCCCGTCGGCCCTCGATGGCGAAGTTGATATGGCGGCGGCACATTAACTGCGTCATGGATTTTACCCTGTGTGCTCCGTGTAAAACGAATGGCATTGCCGAGAAAGAAGTGTTATTTTGTTCATGTAGGTGAAATAGTGAAAATAGGCAAGGTAGTTGATGAGAAAAGTTATTTAAACTGGTTTACGTTTATATTATTTTAAAGCTCATGTGGAGTAGAAATATTTTATATTATTTTAAAGCTCATGTGGAGTAGAAATATTTTATATTATTTTAAAGCTAATGTGGAGTAGAAATATTTTATTAAGTTTGTTCCATGAGTGTTTTATTATTTTATGAACATGTAGTGAAGAACCAGTTTTGCAAGAACATGTCAAATGCAGTAAAATAAGTGTCTGACTATTCAGAATTGGTTCAAGGGGAACTGGTTAAACAAAGTGAAAGGTAGAGAGTGTGCTGCTTGACGTGGTTAAAGGTGTTAATATAAATTCTGCGACGAGGAGCTGACGCAACACCATACTGCTCGTTTGACTGTTTTAACAGAAATTATAGCAGTCTGACCGCGACCTCTGGTGGTCAGTCAACTCAATTACAGTTTATTTTGTTTGTTTTCCACCTACGACAATCCACGTGAATAAGCCTTTACTCTTCGGGTAATTAAAAGAGGGCAAACAGCTGTTAGGCGTTTTATTCAACGATATAGTAAAAACAAGCAGGTTTGTTGATAATGGACCAGACAGATCGTGTGTGTACTGTTTAAGAGTGCTGAGAAGTTGGTCAGCGGGACTAAAACCAATATTCAGTGTAACACAACGAGCTAGGTGTTATTTTTTATCACGTGTGCAGTGCTAGAGCCACGGTGTTTTCATAGCGTAACTGAGATGAGTTAAACACATTCATCCTCAACGTTTTAGTCGGTGCTTCCGCTTGGTCCGCCCACATCTCCCACAATGCAGCTGGGTCCTTTGACA